GATTTAAAGGACAGAAAGAGTTCAATGAAGGTTCACTTACATTTCTTCCCTCACAAAAACCTGAGACAAGAGAGAGAATCAAAGCCATACTTACATAAAATTTGCCAAGGATACTAAATTGGGACATATTGTAAACATCAGTGAGGATGGTGTAATTCTTTGAGTTCCTGAATGTAAACTACAGTTTCAATTTATGATGTGTACCAAACAGTGCTCCATGTGTACAAAACAAATGGATGTACAATCTCCAAAGTTTTACTAGAAAATGTCTGAAAATAGTAAATTCTTGTGCACATAATGCACATGATGAATTAATTAACTCTCTTTGAAACATGATGAGGTAGGGATGGGGATTCATATCCTGATTTTCCAGATGAGAAAATGGAAGTTACCCAGCCATGGTCACAATACCAGAGAAAGAGAAATCTCAGACTTATGAGTTTTAACCCAATTTATCCACAGTGCACTCTCTCAGATGACTCTACCCCTATATAAAGATAGATTTTTAAGAGAATGGGAAGTAGGATTTGCCGTATACAAGGATAGCAAAATCAAAAGTACACACAGGTACAAATGAACATGTGTTTGCTGAAATAATTGAGATGTTTGTAATTTGCTAAATTGTCACGAATTTTAAGCTGGAAGAATATTTAAAATATCTAGTTTAAGTATTTTATTTTATAAATAAGGAAAACTGAGGCCCAAAGGGAGAAATTTCATATATGGGCCACAAAACTAAAGCCCCTTTGAGTCCTTACCCCTGCATAGAGATATAACTCTCCTTAGACTGCCTGTCTTTTTAGATAGCATCCAATATGGATTCCCCTTTCAATTCCTTGCTCATCCCACCCACTCTACCAGCTAGCTGATTCTCCTCATGACTGTTTCTAATTCATAAACCATCCCTTCAAGTTCCTGAGTGTATGCCCCCATGCTCCCATTCACACACACACACACACACACACACACACACACACACACACACACACATGCACACATACACACAAATACTTTCACTAAGTTTCCATCAACCAGATTTTAGTGATTTTACCCCCAAGGCCTAGTACCATTATCTTTTACCTCAAAATGTTCAGATCCTTCCATGACTAGCCTCACCCTCACCCCAAACTCCCAGTATTACTAACAATGAGAAAATGTGACACACTCTCCTCTTCTTTTGCCTCAACAGGAAAACCTGGCTATATTACAATTGACTCTGTGTGAAGCCTTGAACCAATGACAACATTAAAGCCTCATGCTTTATGAACTACCAAATCTAGAAATGGACTTCTGTCTGACATGCCAGGCTTTTAAGTATTGTACCTGTGCCCAGTCCAGAGATTTCTGAAACCATGAATAAAGTGGTAATCAACACCATGAATATCCAGTCTGAGTTAACTAACAATGACAAACAAGTGAGGAAGAGAAAGATTTGTGCTTCCACTCTCTCCAATACAGGTGGAATTCAATGTTGGAACCAGGCAGATTCAGAATCACCTGAGAAAGGACATCTGGACAATAAAGATGCATTTTAATAAAGGAGAAAAACAAACAAACAAACCAATAAATGTTCTCGGAGGGTAATAAGACAGCCCCCTGCCTTCAAATAAAGATAATGATGGCAGTAAACTCCAGTCACCAAGCTTTACAGATGGGAGGAGATTGAAAACACCAATAATTTTTTTCTTCGTTTTGTGTATATTTTTTAAACCACCTTATCCTGTCCCTCAAAGGGCTCAGAATTGGAACATGGGGTCCACATCCAAAGGAAACAGGGGGCTTCGTAGTTTCGCAAGGAATCCATTGGTTATTTTTTATATTTCAAACAGTCAAGAGCATTTGGCCCCATGAACTCATAATGGCACATTTTCTCAAAGAAAATATAACCAGGTTTCCCTAACTTAAGTGCTTCTAGGGTCTGGAACATTTGACACCTTGCTGGATTTCCAAGTGTTCTGTAAGTTGAGTGATTGCCCCTCCCACTTCTCTTCCTTATTCTCAAATACATCAAATCCATGTCATAGCAGAGTTCGTCCCAAGCAGCCTTGCCAGCTGCCCTTTTGCCTGTCTCCCTCTTTCAGCCCGAACTTCTGCAGAAGGCTCCCAGGTGGAATATGTTATGACAGCAAAATCTTCCCTTCCACAGTATGTTTATTTCCCCGGTTTTCCACAACAGCATTATCATGACCCAGATTTGTAAAACCCAGAGGGAGCATTGATTACAATCTAATCTATCTATTGAATTTGCTTGCTTACTTGAACTTTTTTTGCCATCTGATATGATTGCTATTACTGTGGTGGCTGGCTTACTGACACACAAGCTATAGACAGGTACTCAGCTTCATTCTTTGCTCCACAGGCAGGAAGTAATGGATGACAGGGTATGGAGAAGAGGCAGGCACTCACTGGGGTAGGGAGAGTAATCTGAAGTATTTTAAGCTGCTCCTCACTTCCTTTTTACTCCAAATTAAGGCCTTCTTTCTGTAAGTACTCTTAAGAGTACTTTCTGTGGCTTTCTGTGTCTCTTTCTAAACTATACAGGCCTAGACACTGGTGCCCTAGACATTATACTAGCCCAGAATAAGCAGTAGCACTGGGCGATTCAGGAATATGGATGAAATACACAGCATGTTTTCAGTAATACTGAATGCTACCTGTCTCCTTGTTGCTTTAGAGACTGCAAAAAAAAATAATAACAGCTGTCCATTTTATAGGTACCCTGCCACCTGGCCAAAATGATGGAAATACAATCATCATTCCAACTGGCTATCAGTGGAGATGTCATTAAAAAACACACATTTGCTACCTCTTTCTAGATGCCAAGAACTCTCTGGTTCCTCTGTGGGTGTCATCACATTCCTGGTGAAAGGTGTGGCTTTACTTAGCTCCACTTTCAAAACTATCTATAGGGTTTGTAGCCTTTACATAAGGAAAGACTGTCTGTTTAGGTTCTGACATGGAATTCAACATTTTTAGGCCTATTGACAGGGGGAAAAGTCTCAGAAGAAAGTACTTCCTTGAGAGAAAGTGGGAGAAGGAGTAGATACTGGTGTTTAGCAACTGAGTTTGTTCCCTGAGCAGAGTGTCTGTTTACAGGCTATTCATCACTGTTTCTTTGAGAAGGAAGCCATTAGAAGGATGGGGGAGTAAAGTGAATAAATGGCTTAGACCCAAATTGACTGAGAAGGCAGGAGGCACTAGCATATATAGACGGTCTGTAAATGGGAGTTCCCTCTATAGGATGTAGGCTGAGCACCTCTGGGGGCTGAGCAGACATGAATTGTTCTAAGCTAAATAAGATTAATGAGCCAGGTCTTCAGTCCATATAGCCAAATATAAGATGCAACTTAGCCTGGGACTCTGTACCAATGGACAGCCCTGAGAGCAGGTCTCTGGAGAGGAGAATAAAAGTATTTCGATCATTTCGGTTCCTCCTCTACCTAGGAACTATTAATGCAAAGGGGCATCAAGAAGGCAGCAGCAGGAGGGAGCAGGTGCATAGACTGATGGTCTGCTTAACAGTGAGAACACTTCTTTTCTGGGGCTGAGGCCAGGGAGACTTTACTAAGGAACAATCTTGTATTCATAACAAAGTACAGGCTAGGGACTCAGTTGGAGTATCTCTACTTCTAAATTCTCCAATAAGGACAAATTTTCCCCCACTAGCATCAGAGTGGAACACAAGCAGAGAGAAAATTAAATCTTTTCAAATCATTAATTTTTCTTTCATTTCTAGGGCCCACCAACTCCCAAGTACCAGCTGGGACCACCTTCATTCCTACATTGCCTGTACTACCAACACTGTCGAAGCCAGCAGGTCAAATAAGAAAAACTTGCTTCTTTAGGCTCTGAAAAACTTTGAGAGGGCCCTGCCAGTGACCTCATCCCTAAGATGATTAAAATACTGGGCCCTGGAAAATTAGTGCCTCTCTCTAGAAGATAAAGGAAAAAGAACAATAGAAGTGGGTGTGCAAGACCCTTTACCTTCAGCAGCTCTTTTAAAGAAGACTTTGCAGCTTCCACAAGTGAGAGCTCCATAATGACAGCCAGAAGCTTCATCCCCACAGATCAAACAAGTCTTCTGGGGTGGAAAGTAATAGTCGATGGGCAGAACATGTTCCCTGGCAGTCTCCAAACTGGAAAGACACAAGAGAAATAATGAAATACACATCAGTAGTTGGCAAAAATTGGAGGGTAGAAGTCTAAGATCTTGAAGAGTGAACTACATGTGTACATTATTATCATTCATTGCTTAATACATTCAGTGTGGAGCTGCCTTTTTGGGGGGAATACTTCTAGAGATAATGTTTGCAGGGTTTCCTGTCACATGGACAGAGCCTTTATGGATCCTGTTAAGGAATTAGACAAGTTCTCTGGGATCAGCAATCTTATGGGCTATGTCTACATGAGGGAAATATGAAGGCAGAAATATGAGGTTAAGGTATATAACTTAAGATGATGGTCAGGCAATAATTTCAGAGCGAATAAATGGTATGAAGCCAATCCTATGACCTTACCTTATCCAAAGGTAGACCTATGGCTAAACCAGATTAAACATCATAGCAGTCTTATGTCCTTGCCCTAGTCTCTCAGTACCATTCTCATCTGTAAACAAGAATAATGTTACCCATAATTCTGAGCAACTGTTGTGAATGATTTTATAAATTAGGCAAAAAGATAAAACTTCCTTGAAACGAATACACAGTGAGGGATCATAAGTAGTTTTATCATAGAAGTCTTCTTTTGACTTTTCTCCCACTCCCTCACTTTCCTTAGGAGTCTCTATATATCACATGGATATGCCCCCAAACCCATTCTACCACATAAAGTAGCAGAATCCCTATGCATGAAGCTATTGTTGAGAAATGATGGACATTGATTCTCGAAATCTCTTAGGCTACCATCTCAATACTTGGCCATTACAATACTCATGGGTTCCTTTGGCTAGGATGGAGCTTCGGTGGTCACCTAGTGTAACTGCCAAGAATATCCATCTCTGAGTCTTAGGTAGATGTGAAGAAGTGGGCCAGAAATCCAGTCCTAAAACTTAATGGAATGGGTAATTCTTAGTCTCCCATAGTAATTAATTCAAGTGTAAACAAACAACATGGCTCCTACTACCCAAAGGTCATTTTTTTCTCTCCTACACATTAAACAAAACTTAAGTGATCTCTTGGGTTAATCTGCCTCAGGCAGACAATTTCCCATATTCTCATCTACAGGAATGCAGCCACTATTTTTCATGAGCACTGCTTTCTTATTAAGGAAGGAATGTAAGTCCTAATGGCAGCGGCAGCCTGTTTACCATGTAGGGGTGATTTCAACACCACAAAACAACTCTGTGAGAGTTTTTTCTTCTTATATCATATGAAGAAATTCAGACTCATAGAGGAGAAGCCCAAGATATTTGAAACCAAGGCCTGGACTAGCTGACTTCAAATCCAACACAGTTTCCATTACCCTACTGTATTCTCACTACTCACCTTCACTTTCAACCCATGGTTCTTTGCTAATCATGCTCAGCACAGTCATCAGATTTAAAAAAAAAAAAAAAAGCAATAAAGGTTTCCTCCCTTCAATCTACCAATGAGCAGCCCTGGCAGGGCAAGAGGAAAGAAAGCTTTCACTCAGGCTACACTTGATATGCATTTTATCTCTAAGACACAAATATTAGCCTTTATTCAAGGCCCAAGTACAAAAAAAAAGTACTTCCAAAGTTCTGAGAATATGTAAATCCAGGAGCTGACTATGGTGGCCTGTATTTTCTCCTCATAAGCTTTCCTTTTCTCATCTTAGCTGGAAAGCCCACAGGAATCTGTCCACAAAACCAAGACAAACAAGGTGACAAAATCCACAGGAAAAGAGTTTCACTTTCCATATAAAAATGAACGTAATGCTAAGAAAGTTATTCCTTTGGCTAAAAATGTCATTTCTTTGAGTAAAAATTGTGTCCCCTATCCTTATTCATAAAACAAGGAGAAAAAGCAGTTTTCTCCTCCTCCTCCTCCTCCTCCTCCTTCCTCCTCCTCTTCCTCCTCCTCTTCTTCCTCTATCTTTCTCTTTAAGGCCAGTCTTATTAAGTTAGGGTGCCTCCTCCTCCTCCTCCTCCTCCTCTTCCTCCTCTCCTCCTTCTTCTTTTTGGAAATGTCTTTACCTTCTTCCCACTTTTTTGACTTCTGTAGCTAATACATACCATTCAAATAAAACCAGAAGGTCATGCATTTAGGTGCCCTAAGTGTTAGGCCATTTCATATACAAAATACCATTTAATCTTCCCACCAACTCTGTATCTTCCCTATATTGTAGGACAGGAAACTTATGCTCAGAAAAATTAAGTGAACTTGTGGATTTGTAACCAATAACTGACCATGTTATGAGATTGGAGATTGAAATTAAACACATTGAATCAATTCAACTCATAGAACCTAGCTAGCCAAATGGACTAGGTACAGGGCTAGGTGCTGGGGATATAGCATTGATCAAGTTATTATCTTTGCCTCTAAACAACTTAATGTCTTATAGAAAAGAAAGATAGGAAGCAAGAAACTGAAAAATAACATAGTAGATGATATAATAGAGCAGAGTACAGATTGCTACAGATGAGAAATCACCTCAAAGACAGGAATGTTTTTTGAAAGGCATAAAAGTGTATATGGGTACATGGGATGATGATGATGATAGTGACATCATTATCAATTATTAGTATAAATTTGCAAAATAAAAATATATTTTGCAAAATACATATTAGATAAACAAAATGGAAACCTACATAAAGTAAATAAAAGGTACTTTTGGAAAGAGCCTTTAGGAAATAGAAATTTTCATCTATACTAAAATTTAAAATACAGTTAAAGCCTGACTGGCATGTCTCAGTGGTTGAGCATTGACCTTTGAACCCAGAGGATATGGTTCCATTCCCGGTCAGGGCACATGCCCAGGTGGCGGGCTCAATCCCCAGTGTGGTGGGCTTGATCCCCAGTGTGGCGGGCTCTATCCTCAGTGTGGGGCATGCAAGAGGCAGCCAACCAGTGATTCTCTCTCACCATTGATGTTTCTATTTCTCTCCCTTTCCCTTCCTTTCTGAAATAAATAAAATATATTTTTAAAATACAGTTCAAATTGTTTAAAATAATGTAATAAATCAAACTTGTAATCAATGTTTAAAGGCTGAAGAAAGCCATCAACATTTTTAGATATGCATTTAATGAAATGCATCCTGCACAAAAATAACTATAAAGGGGGAGAAAGAGGAGCTGAAATAATGAAGACAATTTTAGAAACTGAAGTTTTCATAACTACAACCCACTTTGAACAGAGATCTGTGATACCTCCTGACCTCAACAGGTCAATTTCTGTCTACCTCCCCCTTCCTCTCTCTGTCAAAATATTTTAGACAGCACTCCCACTAACCCTGGCCTAGTGTGGACAGATGGCACATTGCAGTTCTGACTCATGGGCTGACCTTTGGGCATTGGAAATAAAAATTCCAAATACAGTTCCTCTCCCAGGTTTATATCCTAAAGCAAGAATAAGATACCTTTTTTTTTTTTCCTGCCAAGGGCCATTTGGATATTTATAACATCATTCACAGGCCATACAAAATTATCAAATTAAAAATTAGCCTGCTATATTTGGTCAAACATTTAATTAACTCACCCTTAATGCCTTGGCAGAGCCAGACCAAATGATTTCATGGGCCTTTTATGGCCCGCAGGTCAGACGTTCCCCACCCCTGTGAGAGAAACTCATGCACATTTGTACCAGGAGGCATGTTTGGAAATGATCAGAGCAGCCTTGTTTATAAAAGCAGAAACATCCACTGACAGGAGAGAGGTTAAGTACATTCATTTAATAAAATACAGCTCAGCAATGACAAGGAGGATAATATAGTTATACATAGGTGAACCTCACAAACTAATGTTGCATAAAAGAAATAATTCATAAAACCGTACATACTATATGATTCTATTACATAAGTTCAAAAAGAAGCAAAAGTAAACAATGTATGTGTGAAAAAATCATAAAAATGCAAGGAAACAATAAACTTTAATATAGGATAGTTGTTTCCTCTGAAGGCAGGCTTGGGGTAATGATATAAAAAAGGAGAAAGCAAATTGATTTAAACATCTATTTAAACATATTTATGAAGCTACTACATAACAGGTATCATACTATGTTCTGGGGTTAGAGCAGTGAACAAAAATTTTAAAAAGAAATAGAAATGAGATTGATGTTCTTTAATCACAGCTCATGAGTGTTCATTTTATTATTGTGTTGTATAATATATGTTACATATATTATTTTGTATGGCAATCATAGCACATAATAAAAGAAAAATTAAAAAAAGATTACCTTGGAAATTTCTAATATTCCACTAACTAGCATCCTAACTCCAAGTACACAGAGATTTGCTTGGAGAGCAAGTACAGAAATTACTTGAGACTTTTTTTCCTGACTCTCCTGGGTTACGCTCTCACTTATTATCCAGATGCAAGGCATTCAGTTTTATGAGTCTGAAGCAAAAGCACTGCAGCATAGAATGCAAATTTTCAGAACCAGAACACCACTTCCTATTCTCCAGAAGTTTCACAGTTAGTTAAATAAAAGTGTATTATGCCAGTTCAGCCATGGGAAATTTAGCTGAGAAACCCTCAGCACTAAGGTATAATCTTAATCTCTCTCTCTCTCTCTCTCTCTCCTTCCCTCCCTCTCTCCCTTACTTGGGGATACTTTAAAGGGTCTAACTTAAGCAAGGCCCCCAAAGATTATTAAAGCAGGGTGAAATGCAGAGGTCACAAGCGAGTTTTCCCTGTTTGGGTAAGGAATGTCAATACAACAGGGCTTTATCTGGAGACTGGTGTTACATTATTACTTTGAGGGCTTTTCTGATAATTACATAAAATAATATTCATTAAGTCCTTCTCTCTGCCTGCCACATGTAGCCACATTGGAAGTCTAGGTTGCCTTCACCTTTCGTCTTGCCATAAAAAGGGAAATATATAATATACTTAAAATAAAAAGATAATTATTCTTGGCTCTTAGGGAAAGGTAAATACAAGTAGAGAGGGGAGGGGGGAAGACTAGATATGCAAAAGCATATCTTTTTTGCACATACCTCTGTACTTTTCAAACAAGAAGGGATTTAGGAAACCACCAAACATCTTCTTTAAAAAATATATATATTATTGAGTTTTTACAGAGAGGAAAGGAGATGGATAGAGAGTCAGAAACATGGATGAGAGAGAAACATTGATCAGCTGCCTCCTGCACACCCCCTACTGGGGATGTGCCCGCAACCAAGGTACATGCCCTTGACCGGAAT